CCCATTTGAGAAGCAGGTGGCCAACCAGGTCACAAGCTGACCGACTTCAGCGACCAGAAAGCAGTGCCTGGCAGGGGAGAGGGGAGGAGGGAAGACAGTAAAGAGCAGGCCCTTCCAGAACTGCTGGGACCCTCTAGTCCGAAAGACTTCAGAGTGGAGTGTCTTTGTGGCCCTGACTATTCGTGTCAGTCCCTCCACAGGGAGCTGGTAATAGAGGGCTGGGGGTTGGGGACAGAGGGGTGTTAGTACAATGATGACATGCCTCCAAAACAGAGATTTGGCCAGGATAGTGACTGGGACACTCAGGCTTCCTCAGTGGGGGTGTTTAAACATTCATTCATTCATTCATTCATTCATTCAGCAATTTGAGTGCCTCCTATGTGTATCCAAGGCCCTATGGTGTCTTATAGTCAATTATAGAGTCATCTGAACCAGTTTCTAGTATTTCAACTGGGAACATTTGACCATGGTTTTGGAAATCAGGCTGGAATCAGTGCAATCAAGAAAATGTAAGCAAAGACCAGGAAATAGGGAAATTTGTATTTATGGAACTTTGCCTACTAAAAGTTGTTTCATTGTCTAGATGGGAAGGACCCAGGTCCTTGACTCTGAAGACTTGAAATATGAATATTCATGCTGTGGGATGGTTGCCTCCTCTTCTCGCTGAGAGCCTGGCTCCACAAGTTGAATAAAGGAAAGAGCGACCAGATAGTGCCAAATCCTCTGGTTTGTTCAGACACAGGATTATTCCCATAGCTGTCATGAACTGTGGGTAGTTGATATGATAGCCTCTTATTTGTGTCTGTTTAGGAATAAAATTAGTTATTATCACTGAACTTTCTGTTGTGCAGATGTTGGGAGCCTTATTCCTCTTGCACTCATTTATTAAGCATCTACTGTGTGCAAAGGCTACAAAGGGAATCCACATTGATATATGGGACACAGAGCCCGTTCTTAACGGGGTTTGCTAAAGAGGGACAATGGAGTACATGCAGAAGACAGGTCTGGGCAAAGGACTGTCAGCAGCACAGTGGGTAGTATGTGAAGGAAGGCTTCCTGGAAGACATGGTACCTGAGTTGGGCCTTGAAGGAAAAGAGAGGGATGTCAGTTGATGAAATCTGGGAGAATGGAATTCATTTCAGATGTGGGAGTGGTATGAGCAAAGCTTCAGAGATGAGAGAGGGCAGGATGAGAACACAACCCACTGGGTAGTACGCTGGAGCCTTGAATGCTAGGATCAAGGGCTTTGGTGGTGGTGGTGGGGTGTTATTTGTTTCAAGCAAAGGAGAACTAGTGGTTTGGCTTAAGGGCAAATTCTATCTAGTTAAAACCTTTTTCAGGAGTGTGTTGAATTCCTCCCCATCTTGAGTACATTTGGGAATGCAGTGTGTTGTCTTAAGGGCATAAGAAACAGTCTATGCAGAGGCATAAGGTGGATGGAGAGTATGGACAGGCTGAATCTTTGTCCCTAGGGCCCATCGCAGTGTCTTGGCACCGAGTGCGTGCTAAATAAAGGATTGTTGAATCGGCGAGAGCAGAGGAAAAACAGCCTGTTGAGATGCTGAGAAAGAAAATTGGGCCTGGCTGATAGAAGCTTTCAGTGATTTATCCACCTTGGTTTTTGAGAGATGGTGCTAGCATAAAGAAGGCAAGTATTGAGCCATGACACTTGTTTTCAGCCTTCCAAGCAGCTCCACACCTTAGCCTCCCCCAGCTCCAGTGGAAGGTTTAAATGTCAGAGGCAAACCAAGCCTGTGCTCTGTGAAAGAGGGGAGAGTTTATCACTGGATCAGCCCTATCTGGTTCTTCATGTTAGAAATTGATTACATTTTCCTAACCAGTTTGCTAAATATTTCAAGATTCCCAAACTATGAACATTATGTCACGTGAAATTGTGACTGCTGGCCCATGGATTTTACTGAACTTACAGAAAAGAGCCCTTTGAGGCTGGGAATTTAGCTCTGGGCATGCTCCCTTATCTTCTGTTTTGGGGACAATAAGAAAAATAATTCCTCTAATTCCTTTAGTGCTTGAAGGCTGCGAGGTGCTTTCCTCACTATAACCCTGTAGAACAGTAGCCCAAGTATTTATGTTATGTTGTATTATGAATTTAACTTGGGAGTCTCCAGGGGTTCCTGTGTGAAGGTCTCTGTCCTTTCATATCGCTGATGTCTATATAGCAGTTTATCTTTTATTATACTACATACCTTCTATACATTTTCTCTTTTGATCCTGTCAGCAGTCGTAATATCCCTATTTTACAGAGAGAAAATGAAACTCTTCCCACACAACTGCTAAATGATGAAATCAATATTTGAACTCATAACTTTTAACTTCAGATCAGGCAGGTTTCTTTTTCTTTTTTCTTTTTTTAATTAGATTTTATTTGATTTTCCATTCCAAATTCTCTCATTCCTTCCACCCATTGAGAAGACAAGAAAAAACAAAACCCATTACAATGCAGTGTTAGCTATGTTCTGCCACTGTCCTCTCCCATCCCCCCCCCAAAAAAATGAAAAGAAAAGGTGCTTCAGTTGCTCTTTGAGTTTGTCAAGTCTTAGTCTAGAGGTAGATAGCATGTTTCATCCATGAGTCCATTGGAATTGCGATTGATCATTGTGTCAGGCAGTTACTAAGACTTTCAAAGTTGCGTTCGTTTTTACAATATCGTTACAATACAAATTGTTCTGATTCTATTCATTTCACTGTGGATCATTTCATATTAGTTTTCCCAGGTGTCTCTGAAGCCAACACTATCCTATGCCATCACATTCATATACTTTAACTTGTTCAACCATTCCCCAGTTGAGGGGCATCCCGCTCGTTTCCACTTCTCTACTAAATCAGCTTTCTTTGTCTGGAAGCCAGGCTGTAAAACAAGGTCAAGGCATTTCCCCCTCCTCTTGGCACACCATCATCCAAGCTCTCCATTTCCCCCGCTAATGTTATCTCCAGCCTGTCCCCACCCCCACCCAGGCTGGAGTGCTGCCGTCATCCAGCAGGGCCAGCAGGGCCTCTGTCGGGAGGGTTTGGAGTGCAGCTGGGTCAGCCCCCATGGTTTACAAAGGAGACTTGCCCAAGGTCGCCCAGCTTTTAGGAGTGACTTGGGTCCTTGACCAGATACAAGGCTCTGCTGCACTACACTGCCTCCATATTCAGAGGCCAAGGCTTTACTTGAATTGCTGAATTTACTTGGTCTTTTAGTGTTCTTTTTTAAAATGTGTTTTAGTGGGAAAGACTCATTTTTAATAATCCTTTCTCAAACCCAAACCCTACGCTTTGGTCTGAAAAACCTTTAGCAGCAGTGTCAGCTTTCTCAGGCAGGTGTGAGAGGTTCTGGTCCAGACAGTGGCAGTCAGGGGCCCTGGATTCAAGTCTGCACTGTCGATAGCATTTGTGTGAATGGCGTTAAACCACAGCATTTCAGATCCAGAAGGGATGTGTGAGTTCACAGTACAGCTTGGTGTAGAGGACCTGCTTCAAATGCAGCAGCACTACTTCCTGGCGACCTCTGGGCCCTGGTCTGCTCTTCTGTCAAATGGAGGAGTCCGACTAGAGGACTCTGAGGTCTCTTGGACCTCTAAATCTGTCATCTTATGGCTTCTGCTGGGGGGGGGCCTAATCCATTCCACTTGGGATCACATCCAGTGGAGGTTGGCCTCAGCAACTCCCTCCCTCCCCACCTTTGTTACTCATTTTGCCCTCTGGGCCCAAGCAGAGCAAGGCTGATTTTTCAGCTTTGCCTTTCAAATATTTAGAGAGGCTTTGTGTTCCCCCTCTTCTGACCCCCAGTCCCCAAGTCTTCTCCAGGCTAAACATTCCTAGTTGTAATGCATAGCGTCAAAGAGGGGAAGTGCTTGTCCCCAAGGTTACACGAGCTCATAGGAGGCTGCTTCCACTATATCAAGCCGTATCTCTTAAGATGAAGCTTTGGGGGCAGACAATGCCTTTGCCTAGGCTTCCCAGGCTCAATCTTGCTCTCTGGAAAATCCCTTTTGAGCTCTATTCTTCCTCCAAAGGGCCTAATCTGCTGACTCCGGGAGCCACAGAGAAAGGAAGCAGTTTTATCAAATAGGAGCAAAGTTGTCAGGAGTCAGAAACAAAATTTTCAAGCTGGAAAGACCTTAAGATAGCAGCTTTGGGCTGTTCTTGCAGAGTGGAATGAGGATGAAGAATGCCATTTAGTACCATCTGTCTGTGAATCCCCAGACAAATGTAGCCCTTCCATCTGGGCTGCTAGAGTCTCTGTGCCTATCACACCAGTCACTTTATCTAAATGGCTTTGGCCAAGAAGAAGGTCACTAATTACAATGGAATTAGAAAACCTTATGAGTACAGCTCTGTGCATGTCTCCATCAATTACAATCCCAAACACTCTGCCTGCCTTCCAAGTGGAGACAGCCTGCTTTGTTTAAACATGTAGCAGATACTTTGGCTCTGGAAAGAAAGCCCAGCTCCCTCCTTTTGTAACAGTTTAATTGAGCTTCAGGGGTGGTATGTGGGAGAACAGAGCTCTCAGAGCTAGGGCACTTGGATTGACCCTCCGGGAAACTTGGAATAATCACTTATGCTCCCTCGACCTCAGCCTAAGATGAAAGGGGGGGAAGGGAGTAAGGGGGCTGAGAAACTATAGGCTTTAGAGCCAGAAAGAACCTTAGTGATTGTCTGAAACGTTTTTTCAGAAAGGGAAACTGAGCCAAGAGAGGGAAAGGGACTTAAGGGTACATGGCAAGTGGCAGAACTGGCATATGAACCCAGCTCTTAGGATTTCAAATCTAGGACCCTTTCCCTATCTCATCTTTATCTTAGGAACACTCTAGTCCTGACTTTAAAATAACTCATTGGCCAAGAAGAAAAAATATTCTTGAAGCAAGCAGCAAAGAAATGTTTTGTTTTGTTTTTAAAGTATTATTGGGGGAGGACAGTCTGGGCTGGGGAGGTGGTACGTGAGAGGGAATCTGTTCATAGTTGTTACTGTCCCTTTGGAGTAGCTGTTGGGTAGAGGGGGGCATGTGGCTGTGGGAAACGCAGCTGTTTTACCCCTTTTCATTTAGTTTAACAGCTGGTTCATGGTACTGCTATCCTCAAGCTTCTACCGAAGAGAAAGATTCCCAAGCCAGAAGGTGAGAGTTGGTCTTGCTCAGCCACCCTGAAGGAAGCAGGCAGCAAGCTGGGATAGCGTGTCAGCGAGTGATGGGCACATGTGTGAAGACACATGGCAGCTGCAAGATACAAACCCAGAGTTACTCTGGATTAGTGTCAGGGAGCTGAAACCTTAATATTTGGTCTTGAGATTGGGTATGGCCTTTGGAAACTGGGGTGGGGCCAGTGTCATGCTGGGAGCCCTCCCACAGCGTCACAATTTCATTAAGAAGCCTCAGCTGTTCTGTGTCTGAGGGGGAAAGGGGGGCACTTGGAGTTTTTTCCCCCTTAACTGTACTTAACTGGTTTCCACTGACATTCTGCTAGGCCTCAGGATGGCTGTGGCTAGGGTCCTGGTACTCAAAAGTTGTACCAGTGAAGCCCAGCCTTCCCAGGCTGAAAGAATTTAAAGCATAGGTTTGTTGGTGGAGTGTTTATCTTGTTTTTGAAGACAAGACTAATTTAAGAGAGCCTCATCACCAGGGGATGAATTTTTTCTGGCCACTCAAGAAAGTAAGAACCAGAGGGGGGCTGTTGACGTGCCGCAGTGGGGGGAGTGGCCAAGTTGATAAAATCTCCTTGAAGTGTTGAAGAACACAGGTGCTGGCCCTTTTAATGACTGAGCTCCAGGAAGCTTGTTGTAAAATTACCACTAATCATCTTCTTGAAGGTGACCTCCTAAGGAAGGTGAGAGAGGCCCAGGAAGCAATTGGAAGCTGTGGGGAGTGGGAAAGCCTCAAGCCTCAGGATGTTCCATCTGCTGCTCCCTGGGGGCATGGATGGGAAAAGCAAAGTGAGTCCTGACAGGTGGGTAACAGCAGCCCCCAGGGAAGACTCAAGTGTCTGGAGAAGTCCCTTGGGAAACACAATACAGATTTTCAGGGACCTGAAAGAGAAGATTCAGCCTGAGTGAGGGCTCTTGCTTCTGTGGTTGGCACAGAATACTGACTTTGGGACAACCCTGTCAGGGTGTAATCCCTTCTCCCTCCCCCTCCACCCCCTTTTTAATCTTCCCACTGAAGCTGTAATTTCATTGGTAGAGGGAACTTCTCTCAAGGAAACCACCATTGCAGAGCCCATCAGCCGCTTTAGTGCAAATTGCTGTCTTAGCCGCCTGACAGTGCACTGAAAAGTGGCTTGCCCAGCTCCACAACTAGCATGTGTCAGACAGGACTCAAACCCAGGTCTTTTAAGCTGGCTGCTTCTCAGATCCCCATTTTATAGATGGAGAGGAAGTGTGATGCAATGGAAAGCACAGTGGATTGGGCATCAGGAAGCCCAAGTTTCAGTTTGAGCTCTTATTTCCTGGGTGAACTTGGCCAATAATAGTAATAACTACTCTTATTTCTTGGGTACTTTACAGTCTATAAAGCACCTTGCTTGTGACTGTCGTATGAAGTGGGCATTGTATTATCCCAATTTTACAAATGAAGACAAACTCAGGGAGATTGTGACCTACTTGGAAGTTAAATGTCTAGGAAGTATTGGGTCCTGGGCTTGTAACCATGCCCTCCAATCTGAGGCCTCCTCCAATCTGAGGCCTCCTCCAATCTGAGGCCTCCGCCTCTGGGCCTCATTCACTCCTCTGCATAATGAGGGGCTTAGGCTTAATGAGCTCTAAGGCCCCTTCCTGCCGTAAAGTTTTCTAAAAGGCTGACTTCAGATTATAAAATGTAAAGCTGGATCAGACTTGCCCAAGGTCACTTAGCTAAGCAACCAAACAAGTATTAAGCACATGGGTGAGATACAGAGGAACAAACGCAGTGTGTAATGAAACAGTGCACTTGATAAGTAGCAGAGCAGAGGCTCTGGTCTCCTGGTGCCGTGGTTGGTGTTCTTTCTGCAGCCCTACAGAAGTCCTTTAGGAAGCTGAGTATCTAATGCCATCCTTGATGATGGCTGATTCTTCACATTCCTCTCTTTCCTGCTTTGGTCTTCGATTTCTAGCCTGATAACTCTAGTAAGCACATTTCTAACGTCTTTCTTCCTCTTCTTAAACACAGTAAAGTGGGTTAGTTCAACTTTGGCTTGAAAGGCATAATGCCAAGGGAAGCATCTCCCTCTTGAGCCTTTCACATTTGGTATTGTTGGAAGACTCATAGAAGAATCCCTGGGGGTATGGGAGTTGCCTCACTGTCCCCACCTTTCAGGGCGAAAATGAACAAGTGCCGCTTCTTACACGAAGCCTTCCCTGATTCCCAACAAGCTGAAAACGATCCCTCCTTCCTGCTCCTAAAGCATTTGGTCTAACTGTCCTTTGCTGCAACAACGTTCTGTAGTTGCTTGCTTCCTATTTCAATATGTGTCCTAGCCTTGTTAGATCTCTAGCTCTTTGAGGGCAAAGACTGATATTTTTCACTTTCATTTGTCTAGTGCCCATCCACTTAGTGGATGTTTAATAAATGTTGGTTGGGTTTAATTATTTGGAAAGAGGCCTACGGTGGCCAGAGGTCTTCCACTTTAATAGCTGTGTGTTGTTGTTTAGTTTGTCTGACTCTCCGGGACCCCATTTGGGGTTTTCATGGCTAAGATACTGAAGTGGTTTGCAGTTTCCTTCTCCAGCTCATTTTATTGAAAAACTGAGGCAAACAGGGTTAAGTACTTGTCCAAGGTCACTCAGCTACTAAGTGACTGATGCCACATTTGAACTCAGGAAGATGGGGCAGGTGCTCTATTCACAGCCACTTAGCTATGTGACCTGAAACAAATTACCTATCCTCTCAGACTGTTTCCTTCTTTCTTAAAGCAGAATAATCCTTGGATTTCCTACTCATTGGTTTTATTTTCCTTTTCTAGGCTAGAATGCTGTGAAGATGCAAATACTGCTTGGAGAAGTATCTCTGTTAAGCTTCTCTGATTGTACCTCAATGAGAATGAGATTCTTTTGAGAGCACTAGACCCTGAAGGCTGGGAAGGTGGGTCATAGGATGGAATGTCGAGAAGGGTGGGATGATTCTGAGATTGTTGCTGGTGCACTGGACTTAGAAAACCTTATTGGTTTCCCTTAACCTCTCTGAGTCTTGAGTCTTTTTCCTAATCTAAAATGAGTATAATCATTGTTTTACTGCCTACTTCGTAAGATTGTTATAAGGAGCTTGGTCTGTAAATGCTAAGACACTATAGAAAAGGGAGATGGTATTAATAACAATCCACAAAGTTCTGTACTGGTACTTCGTTGCACTGCAGAGGTGACTCTGGGTTCTTGATAGCTATGCCAGCTGACCCCAATTTCTACTCTGCTGAAAGGGCTTTGAATAGGGTTCTGGCAATACCCCTCTAAACACAGAGACTCACCACCAAGAAATACAAAATGGCCCTCAGTCATATGGCATTCCCTACAGCAATAACAAGGGTTAGAGGGTGCTAAGAGTCATGCTGTCTTTAGACAGTTTATAAGCATTAACATAGCTGTTGGTATTCTAAATATGAGATCCTTGTCTAGTCGCCATAGGGTAAATGTTCCACTTAGAAGACATGAATTTGATCAAATCCTGACCTTGCTGTAAGTGAAACCAGAAGATACAAGGAACTTGCACCTAAGTTGAAGGATGGCAAATAAAGGAGGTGATAGAGCTGATTTTATCTTGAAGTCAAAGGCTACAAGAAGCATCATTTCGTGGAATACTTGGTCATCTCATAACAAGTGCTTTTGATGAGCATTTGATTTTCAAAAAGACCACCATGAAGATAATTGCCAGTTGTGTGCCAGCATCTATTGCAGACAGTGAAGAGAGAAAAATTCTATAAAGAGCTTGAAAAGATCCTCTGAATTAAATACAGATATGCTTTAATACTCAGTAACTTTAATGCAAAGATGAGTATAAAGATGCCAGCAAAATAATTTTTGGAAAGATGGTTTGTGAGTAAAAAATGAGAGGTGATAGCACACATGCTTTATAGAATCCATGTACCTATGTCACCTTCTTCAAATGCCAAATAACTTGTTAAAAATGGAATTCATAATATTTTTACAAACAGGAAATGACTGGTTACTAGAGTCATTTCTGAATCAGCTGCTTTTGTTCAGTCAACTTGTTAGAGCAATGATTAATATAAATAGCAAATTAAACAAAAATGTCAAAATACAGTACACAACTAAAGCCACTGCAGTCTGACTCAATAGTTAAGCTACTGATGCCAGAAAATGGGAAATGGATAAGAGAACAAACATTGACATAGACTTTCTTAGCCTATCACTCTTGCCTAAGGAAGTTGAATAGATAGATTACCAGAAGACCAGAAGGGCCTAGAGGCCACCCCAGCATGTAAACAGCCATCTCTTTACCTAAGTGAAGAAAGCTGGCAGCCCCAAGCAATCCCAGTTTAGAATATAAATTTGTTGGCAAAATTTTACAGAGTAAGATGGCAGGGAATTATGAGCAGTATTGCTTCATAAAACGGAAGAATGGTAGAGGTAGGAAATTTCCAAATGTCATGGCCAGAAAACCATCTAATCTAAAGATCATACAGAGGAGCATTAACTGAAAAAACAGCTACAAACATGAAAAATGGTAATAAACTTCCCATCCATGTCAGTGAAGCCATTACATTTGGACATCACAATCGCCACTGTATTGATGAGGAAATAGAAATGTCACTAAAGAAAACAAAGGACATTGTTGGTGAATGTGTGAGAAGGGAACAGGCTGTCTGTAGCAAGTGATAGATATCTGTATGGTCACATAGTTGATGACCGAAAGGTTCAGAAAATATAAGATCCTTTTTTTTTTTTTAATTTTGACTATACAAAGGGTTTTGATTCAGTAGTGCAAAGTGCTACCTTTCTGAAAGATAGAGAAGGTTCTATTCCAGCAAGGAATGTCAGAGTCATGCAATACTCCTTGAAAGATATTACAGCAGCGAAACAAACCTTTTTGCTCTGACTGTTAATGTTAAATGAGGCATAAATCAGGAAGATGGGTGCCTGCCAAGGCTATTTGCCACTGCTGTGGATGATGCCTAGTGTAGTGTCCAAATGAAAGAAGGATTTCCAATAGGTGGTAAAGTCCTCCAAATTCTCCTGTTTGCAGATGACCTTGTGCTAATTGCATCCAGCCCCAGAACATTGCAGAGCTTCCTGAATGAGGCCTGTAATCACATAAAATGGCTTGGCCTAACCATTCACCCAAAAAAAAACCAAGTTAGTGAAGAATGCCTGTTGTCCAGACTAGAAATGCATTTGGCCATCGAGCTGGTCGAATAGTACACATGTTCTTGTACAGTCACTATAGATGGACAACAATCTGAGCCCAGAATCGAGGAGAAAGAGGTGAACAGGCTGAAAAAGAAATTTCCCCAAATTTGCCTTTGAAAAGTCATGTGGTACTTTTAATGACCCCAAGCTTTTCTCTGAAATAAAGTTCCTTCTTCCTAAGATCAGTATGAATCCACCCCAAAGGTTCATACGGACTACTTGTGCCCGACCTGTGGTAGAGCATGCCGAGCGTGGATTGGTCTGATCAGCCCCAGTTGGACACACCGTGACTTGACTCCATCACAGTGATGTCATGTTGGTCCTCTTCAGGAATGAAGGACAACAACAACAATTCTTCCATCGCTGAGGTGGGGCTCCATGCCATGGAACTCTGAAGTGTTTGAAGAATTGAGGTGGTGGTTGCCCAGAGAGAGGCCAGTGGTGGGTCTGAGTGAGCTGCATCTTATTAACAATGGAGAATTACTCAGGAAAGTCTGTATAAAGGGCGTCAGCGGGGAAGGTATATGGCCAGCCTGTAGGCAACATCAGGAGAGAGAGAGGAAGGTGTTTTCCACATGGAGAGGATAAACTTTGTAAGGAAGATTTGTGGGAGGACAAGCACAGGAGTTGTCACGTAGGATGAAGAGGGGCTACACCCATGTGAATAAATCACACGGATCAGTGTAATTTTGAAAGACGTTGGGGGAGTGGGCAGTGATCACTCACTGCCCTCAGAAATCTCAAGGCTTGTCCTTTTTAGCCTCAGAAAGCATGGCAAGGCCTGAATGGTGTGGCTGGAAGGAGCGCTGGGTTTTGGAGTCGGCTCGAACCTAGTATGAGATGCTATAAATGAACAGGTTTGATCAGAGGAACTCTCTACTTCCTCCAAATCTTTTGTCCCAAGTTGCGGAAAGGCAGATCTTGGCTAGTTGTCAAAGAATTTCTCAACAATCAGCTTTCCGCGAGGGAGGAGGAGTTCCAAGGGGGTCATTTCTGGAGGTCCTAATGTCGAATGGCCTTCTACACATGAGAAAACTAGACCCAGAGAGTTGAAGTGACTTGCCTCAAGTCCCAAGCAATTACGTAGAGTTAGGATTCAACCCCAGCTCACTTGGCTGCAAATGCAGTGCTCTTTCTACTTTATCAGAGTAGAACCAGAGTAGATTAGAGCCTAAAGGTAGGAAGCAACAAAGAAAAGGACCGATCCCTTGTTTTCCTTGTTTCTTTTAACAACGTGTGATTGGGGGTAGGGGAAGGGAGAAGGTAGAGACAGGGCCCGTGGGTCAAAAATGTAGCAGGGGAGGATCTAGTCCAGCTGTTGGGAGGGGCTTTCTGAGACATCTTCAGGTACAGAACCCAACCCCATCTCTCTCTGCTCAGACTTGCCCTGTTAGTGGGGCTCAGCCAGTAGGAGGAAGCTGGATCTGCAGGTGCTGGTAAATAGGCAAATTTCATCTTCCAGCCCTGTCTATCACTTCCTTTTGGGAGCAGTGCCTTGAGGTGGCAGTAAGATGCATGATGGGGCCTCCTGAAAAGGGCACGCCTTCTGGGTGCTGTTTGCCAGCCCCACCAGGGTAAACATGGTGTGGTACACACTGGTCTAGAGCATTCCCAGCCCCACACCCATTATAGGATGTGGAATGAGGTACCCATATGGCAGCAGAGCCACAGGACTTTGGATTGGTGACCAAATTTTGGGAACAGATGGAGCTTCCTTTCCCTAACAGATCTGAGAGTCAGAGGATATGAGATTTAAGCTAGAAGGAGCCTTAGGAATTATCTAGTCAAGTGCCCTTTTTCCCCTCAGAGAAGAAAAAACAAATTAGGGGAGGGACTTACCTAAGGTCACACAGCTAGTAAGTGACAGAGCTGGAATTCAAATCCGGGTCCTTGTTTTTTTGGTTTGTTTTTTTCCTAAACATACTCCTCAGGTAACAACATGTTCATCTAACTCCACCTAAGGAACCCTTACTTTCTCTCCCTTTTCCCCAGATTCCTGCCTCTCTCCTCCCTTCAAGGGATGGTTGTGATTAATAGCCATCTTCTGCGCCTGTGTGGAAACCATTTGTGCAACTCCTAGAAAAGATAAAAAGTTTAGTAGGAAAATAAGACCCAGGTTACTATATAGGATCCTGTTGTCATGGAAAGTGCTGGATTTGGGGGTCCTGGGACCTGGGTTCAAGTCCCAGCTCTGTCAGTGCCTGTGTGACCTCAGACAAATGACGACCAACTTGGACCCCAGTTCCCTCCAGCCCCTGAGGTCAGTTTTAAGTTTATGAGTCTGTAATAACTGCATGAGAGTTGAGATTTGGAGGGACTGGTAACTAGGAAGGAAGCAAGCAGATCAGGGAAGGCCTCTTGGAGGAGGTGGCATTTCTGGTTTGAAAGCACTTTCTCAACGCAGCTAGGTGGCGCAATGGATAGAGCACCATCAGAGATAGAGCAGAGTCAGGAGGACCTGAGTTCAAATGCGGCCTCAGACCAAACATTTGACACTTACTAGCTCTGTGACCCTGGGCAAGTCACTTAACCCTAATTGCCTGTAAGAGAAAAAAAAAAGCACTTTCTCATATGATCCTCTCAGCAGCCTGGTGAGGGCAATAGTCTGTATTTGATCGATGGAGAAACCGAGAAACCAAACTCAACAATGGGTCCCTCTAAGGGAATTGCCCCTGTCGTGGGGTGAGTGGCAGGGCTGAAGGACCCAGACCTGGAGTTCCTGGCTCCCACCCCTAGTCTTTCCTCCAGGAGGGGATTATTTGCTGTCCCATGAAGCCACCACTGCTGTTATTCCCAAGACATGGGGAAGAGCCCCCACCTATTCACAGATCATTGGACTTGTCAAGGGGCTGAGAATTCCTCTCCAAGC